AAAAAAAAAAGAAGTACAAATTGATATACAGGAGAGTCACAGGGATATAAAGTACAGTATGGGGAATATAGTCAATAGCACTGTAAAAACTGTAGTGTCAGATGGTTAGTAGACTTATTGGGGGGATCAGTTCTTAAATTATATAAATGTCTAACCACTATGATATACACCTGAAATGAATATAAAATAATATTGAATGTCAAAAAATTTCAAAAATAAAAGTATTCTCTAATCATCAAAAAGAAAAAAAAAATCAGTATTCCTATCTTGAATGACTTCTTGGTGGGGACAAGAAATTCACCCAAATGCATGTGGATTGACTCAAAAGAACTCTCCTTGGAAAACTATAAACTACTCAAGTATGCTTTAGACAAACAAGCTTTGAGAAACAATGGACTCCCAACCCCCTTTGTAAACCCTCAGCATTCTGTATAATACACACATGACAGTAATTACTATAAAGGTGCAAAGGTATTATAAATTTACAAACAGACTAAATATTTCTTCAACAAAAACTTACCACACCAATGAAAAACTAAGAACTGGTTGTAAAGTGTTATGATGGAAAGTTTTACTACTTTGTCCTAGAGAAGAGTTTTCTCCTTCTCTTTGCTCTTTCTTCTGATAAAAATTTGCAGAATGATTTTTAAACATTTTAAATAAAATGTTTTTATAAAACATTTGCAATATAACCTTATTACTAAACTGGGCAATCAGACAACAATATTTGTAAAGTATCAATGTTCCACTCTGTACAGAAAATTGTAATCTGGGTGTTAGGAAGTAAAGGATCTCTTCTAGAAGGTAATCAAGTAAGCTCAGGGGTAAGTCCAACACAAATAAACACCTGTAAAGACAACTAACAGAAATATTAAAATCACACCAACTCAGCTTCTTCTATAGTGAAGCAATGGTGTGTGTGTGTGTGTGTGTGTGCGTGTGTGTGTGTGCATGTGCATGCATGCGCGCATAATTCGGGTATCATGGAGAAAGCAGACAACTTGGAAAGACCCAAGGGAAGACCTGGAAATCACATGGAAAAATCTGTGCCTGTGGTCACTGACACACAATTGTTAGATGTTATCAGGTGCTACCACAGAGATTCAGTGGGACAGGGCTCATGGCACACAGCCTTGAAATAGTAAATCTAACTGAAAACCTCTGAGGTGAAGTAACTCTTCAGCTATCCAGACAATATAAATGTGTTGGAAAATTTATGAACTCATAAATACAAATGTGCTGGAGACTAGAATATTTGAATAAAGGTAAAAGGAGACAGGATCAGAACTAACTCTAATGTTGAAATGGAACAGATGAGGGAAATGGACACTACAGACAGCAAAACTGCCAGAGGCAGAGGGGGAGGCCGAAAGAGTGGAACCATTGAGGATGGATCTGTGCTGTAAGCTGGCTAACATTCAGCTTATGGTGGAGTTCCACTTTAGCTGATGGTCTTT